TGTTTGCCCTTATATAGAGGGAACTCTACCGAAGTCTGGAATGGGAGAGCAGCGCTTACCTCTGCCATATGCTCTGGCTTTTTTGGGATTAAGTTTGGGCTTCAGAGGAGCTCCGGGTTTTAGTTTAGCTTTTGGGAACTGGGACAAATAGGTCATCACTGAGTGTTCATCTACATCGGGGTGGATGATCTCTTCTGGGGCAATCACCTAGAACAGCAAAAGGGGTTAAAAAGAGAATTTAAAAATGCGGATTCTGCCAAGCACAGTGACTCTGAAAACAGGGTTTTTCAAGGACACAAAATTACTTTCATGTGCTGCGGACTGCACAACAAGCACAGATCACGTATGCTAAAAAACGTTAATGCATTCCATGGATTCAAACAAAAAGCACGCCGGAGGAATGCAATGATGCCATGCAACGCCGGAACTGTCTGATTGTACAGATATGAACACAAAAAAAGCGTCAAAAAGGACTACTCAGCCAGTATAGACCAATATAGGCACTAGTGTAGTCATAAAACAAGTCTGTTAAAAAATAATAATAAAAAGCATGTGTATGGAAAGGTCTGCAGGATGCTGCCCCCAAACCAGCCAGGGAGACCGCAAAATCTAGGGAAAAAACACAAGATCTGATGAAGGGGGCGTGACCCCGGAAACGCGTCATCACACATCACACAGTCTCCTCTGCTGACACATAGACACGGCTGTGCAGCTTTCATAGACTTTCTCTTGGGTCCATGGACTTACTTTTTATACTATTATCATGCTGAATTTTGGGAGTATGTTTTTTATCTACCTCTAATCCTGATCTTAATAAATTTGTCTGCACCAGGAAAGGCGCCCCTTGTTTGTGTTTTTTCCCTAGGCACTGTCTGATTATAAAAAGACAAAAGCAAGAGCAACATTTTTTTTTTTACCAGCTTTGGAAGGAATGATATCTAAAATACTGTTGCTATAGGCAACAAATGCTTCCCTTTTCAGCATTTTCATATCCAATTAGCCTCCCGCAAGGATGGCCAAATCCAAGTCACCATGAAAAAGACTCACTCAGCATCTAAGTTTTATCTCATGCTCCTAAAAAAAAAAAACAATACCAATTCTTCCAGTAAAACCGATTTTTTACAGGTGTGTTGTTCAGAATTCAAATAATCTTATATCTAATCTAATAATCTAAATCCAGGACTAAAACTCTGTAATTGACCGATGTCAATGCACTGAGTTAATTATTCAGGCAAGTATTCACTTTTTAAGAAGGTTTACTTGGATTATTAGTAATTGTTGGGAGTAGGGTATGAAGAGCGCAGTACAGGGAGCTCATCTTTGACTCTTAATGCTATACTTTCCATGTATCTTTTACTCTACAGCTTTACTTGTATATTGAAACCCTATGAATCATTTTTTCACATGAAATATAATCATTTAACCATTCCAAGTCATCGGCCTCGTGAATCCACATTTTTAACAAAAAGTGCTATTTTACTTAAATAAAAAAACACAAAAAAGTCTTAAGCTGGCCTTATACCATCAGATATTTTTAATTTAGCTCGCGAGTACTAGAAAATAAATCTTAATGGAGACACAGACCGCATTTAAAACCTGAAAGGACCTTCAACCGTTCTTTACTGTATCCAAAACAAACAAAAAACGTTTGTTCATGTTGGTCTTTAAGGTCCCGCACCTCAGCATTTTGGTGTGTTGCGTAACGCATGTGCTTAACATACGTTGTTGGTGCTACTACAGGGCTTTACAGCAGGAGTAGCCAAACTTTGACCCTCCAGCTGTGGTGAAGCTACAAATCCCATTAAGCATTTGCCTCTCCGAGTCAGGCCTGTCATTCTCTTGCAATTCCTTATGGGACTTGTAGTCCTACAACAGCTGGGAGGGCCAAAGTTTGGCTTCCGTTGCTTTACAGCAACCATCCAGGTCTTGTATGGAGTCGGGCAGCTTCCCCTCTGAAACCACAGGGAGCTTCACGCTGAGCATAGAAGCCATACAGAGCCAGATAGGGTAGCTGTGGCTGGTGTACTGAGAGTGTTGCTGCAGAAGGGCTAGAAAAGCACAAGGCTGTGGACCACCAGGGATGCAGGAAGAGGCAAATGAGGGCATTATTTGGCCAGGATACAGTAGGGTTCTCCTCCTGATTGACAATCTTTGTAGAAGGACTAGAATACATCAATGATCTTTAAAGTGAACCTATGCCCGGATTATGCACAATAAAACATCTGCATATTCTGGACAAACAATAAAATCATTTTTAAAAAGCCCTAACCTCTGTATCAGCAAACATTGCAGAGTAACAGCTTCAAAGTTCACAACAAATGCACTGAAATTTCAGCTCCTCTTTTGATTTTCTCTTGTGGCAAGGACTTGGCACCCTGCCAGACTTTTAATGTTAACCCAATAGCAGGTGATGTACGCTGTTTGACATTGACTAAAACATGACTTTAGAGTCCCTGTTGTAATGTGTGAGGATTACATTTGAACTCTAGGTATAAAGTTTTATGCATACTTGCATTGGTCCAGCTTGGCCCAATGTAAGTATCCATATGATAAACCTGGCTGGCCCACGGGGCTCCTGCAAAGCAATGTGGTAGCCAGAACTACAACAGTACTTTACAGTAATATTCCAGGTCCTGTATGGCACTGAACTGAGTGCCTGCCTCTCTGCTCTGAAAACACAAGAAACAATAGTTTGGCACAGCGGCCATTTAGAGAACGGCTTGTAATTCTATCTATAAATACAAGGTGTTCTCTGATTGGACAAGGGGCAGATCTTGAGGTCAGGATCAATAGAGAGTGATGATGTGATCACTAAACACTACATTGTCATGAAACTCTACCTCTCACTACTGACCCCATCACAAGGTAGAGAAAGACAGACATTCTATCCTCTCTGACTTTTTCTTTTCATCCAATTCTATTCACATCCTAACTTGATTGCATGAACACCACATGTATAACCGAAAGCAATCCAACATCCTATTATGTGATTCATACACTTCACCAGCACAGTCTACAAATTCTAAAAATTCTCTTAGTCATAAAGATGTGAAGAAATTCATGCTGGGGAAGAGAAAAAAAATCCCACAAAAATAGCAGCATGAAGTATGTAACGTCACCTACCTGAGGAACTCCCAACCAATCATCTGCTTGCTGCATCGCCTCTCGCGCATTATCAACTGGCTTCTTAGGATCCCACGACTCCCAGTCAGGACACAGACCTGCAGAAAATGGTTTTAATTAATTGATTTGTACGGCAACACCGATCCCAAAATCAATATCTTATCAATAAATTTTTGAGACAAGTAACTAGTAACGTTCCAGATGCTGTGTAGCTACAAGAATACACATGGGCTGCTAGCTCCCTGGATGATCTTATACACTGTTTGGCTGGCAGGGAATGCTGAGAATCGTAGTTCCTCAGCAGCTGGAGATCTACTACCATCAAAGTATTCTACAAAAATGACATGCAAGCCAAGATATATGTAGAACTCCAGATTTTGATGACTTAACCCCTGCAGGGGGGGGGGCTACCCCTGCACTGCAAGGGTTAACTGGCTCGTTTTGGTTTACAGGTAAAAATTAATACTCACCCAATCCTCATTCCTGCATCAGTGACCACTCACCTCTCTCCCCGTCTGCTCCAGCTGTGGCCCTCTGCATCTTTACGTCTAATTGGCTGTATTAGATGTGATGATGTCACAGGTCCTTAGATCACCGGAGCCCAGGGGAGAAGAGGCTGTAGTTTTATTTTTTTACCATATTTAAGCTCTTTTAAATGCCATGGCACATGAGGTCTGAAAAGCAACAAGTCTTCCAAAAAGGCACACTACTGAAGCAATGCCATGCATATCTTGGTCACAAGCATCCAACTACCGCAGTTAAGCTACACCATGTGGATATCAAGCTGGCAACCACAACAATTTTACATTACAGAGGTGTGAATTTGAAACAGGAGGGGAAAAATAGAAGGATTTGTTCATGTGATAATCCTACCTGGTGCACAGCTGTCTACCAGGGCCCCCAGAGCTTTCCCATCATGCCAGTTATGGCTGAAATTGGTAATTGGCAAATAAGGGATTTTGTTCTGAATCCAGCCAAGCAGCCTCTGTTTTGGGGTCTGATGTTTGGTCTCTTCGTCACCTTCATCCTCCCAAACTGGCATAGAGATGGAGTAGTGCAATATAAGGGTCCAGATGAGACCTAGGATCAGCTTCAGGTTTCCATCCACGATAGCTTTACTGTCTGAAATATAAAAAAAAAAAAAGTAATCATCACAGGATGTTTGCAGACATCAGAAACATACACAGGGGAATGTATCAAATCTGGCACAGACAAAATCTGGAGCAGTTACCCATGGCAACCAATCAGCTTCGCTCCTTCATTTTTAAATCCTAACTGAACAAACTGAAGAGAGAAGGTGATAGGTTGCCCTGGGCAACTGCTCCAGATTCCAGGCCTAGTTTCCCTGCAGTACACGGGCAGGCCTAGTTTCCCTGCAGTAAACGGACAGGCCTAGTTTCCCTGCAGTACATGGGCAGACCTAATTTTCCTGCAGTACATGGGCAGCAAAAAAACAGTACAAGAGAACATCATGTTGGCTTCATATGCCAGATGTTTTTTGTGTAGACATAAAGTTGTCAAATGCTCAGGTAAATACAATTTAAAGCACCTGCAGCCAGGTTATGGACATTTACAACTTCAGTACATACTGTTTGCAATAAGTAAATGTGGTCTAAAACAAGCCCTCACTGGGCTTTGTAGTTGCTGGCACTGTGTGTAACAATCCATTCTGCAGTTCACGGCTGAAGTCCTTCAAGTCCTTCTCTCAGCATCTCAGCTCACCCTGCTCCCTCAACTCAGCAGCTCTCATAATACTGTTCCTGCCTCCCATTATTGACTCAACAGCCTTCCAATCTCGAAAGTAAAGACAGAGCAGGAGTAATGGGAGGGAAAAAGCAGGGGTAGCTGAGCTGCCGAGAGCCAACTTGAATTACTTTAGTGCTGTCAGGAACTTTGAATATGAATTGCCTGGGGCTACAGAGGTCAGGGAGAGCTTTGTTTTAGGAATATGTAGACACCGGAATGTCAAAGGTCACATTAAGAGCCAATTGTACAGTGCAAGCTCCACATAATAAACTTCACCTATAGGCACAGTTTAAAAAGGTATCTTGTTTAAAAATAGGACATATTAAAAACTAAAATTTTAAGCTATATAATCTCATGGACCACAACCCTGACACTTAAACAACTTGTCACAGTAACGCATAGCACACAGCTACACAGAATAGTCGGTTTAGCAAATGCCAACATTCTTGATGCATATCTGAGCCCAAATGAACTCTACTCATGAAATCGATTTGACAAGGAACAAGCAAATAAGATTATAACTAATCCTTAGCAGTAGTTGAAGCTATACATGGCTAGATGTGTCCCTGATGAAGATTTGAGAAACACAAAGAGCTTCAAAACATTAGCAGGCAAGCTGAGGTATGATCATTAGAATCCAATCAGAATCAAGCTTAGGTTCTCCAAGTGGCACGTGCACGAAAATGCAAGGTCCGTTTATTTTTGTACTTTCACATTAACAAATGCTAAATGAATACAACAACAAAAAAACCAATACAAGCAAAAAAGAGGTACTTAACTTAGCCCCGCCTCCAGCTATAAAGGTGACAAACACTAGGCCTTCTACTGGGACCCTGTGAGACTAAGCAAGGAGAGCAAATCCAGCAAGCAGTCTAGCCTGCATAGTGAAGGAGAAACCTCTCATGAAATGTTGGCTCCTTAACTTTCCCTGGATCCTGGGAGAAGGCCCAATGAACTCACCTGCGCCTAGGCGATGCAAAGTGTTCTTTAAGGGTGTCTATGATCAAAAACTAAAACTAAATAGGTTTTTCTATCTTGCATTTCCATGAGTTCCATCTTACTCCTAATAAACACATCAATCTAGAAGTTTGTAAACTTACTTTTGAAGGTGCTCATAGGGTGTAATTCTGACAGAGCCTGCCTGCTGAACTACAACTCAACGTCTGAACAATGTACCCTTATCACTGCTTGCAGGAAGCAATGCATGATGGGATATGTAGCCATAAGAAAGCAAGTTTGCATCACATCAAGCAGCAAAGGAAGAGTCGCAAAGCACACTGGGAATCCAGGAAGTTGGTGAAAGTGATGGGCAGACGGAAGGCCGGACTCACTACATAAAAGTGATTTTTTTCAAGTAAGCTTTGTTTGCATTATCAAAAACAAAACTATAGTGTCTATTCCTATTACACTGCTGATCTTATTAAAGGATAGTATATGCTGGGACTTTACAACTCCTTTAAAAGAACTTGTTCAAGGTAAGAAAATTAGTTGTAAATTCCTACATGAGCTGCTACTAACCCCATGGCAACACTGCTTTGCCAAGCACAAACTTCCATATTTTTGGGCAAAGGGAACTAAGAAGTCCATGGGCGAATGTTTCTTTAGAGTTTTGAAAGCACTAGTCTGTCATAAAGCTGCATGATTTAACAGCCCGGCCATTAAATTTTTTTACATTGTATTCAAAAGACAATATTGTTTGTAATTTATAGCTTATTGGCAGAGATGTAGAAGTCCAGACTGATGACTGCACATGGTGTACGCTGGCAACGAATACAATGCATAGAATCTTATTTTATTTGTTTTTTTTATACAGGGTCTGTAGTAAAATGTTAGAGAGAAAAAGTAACAGATGGAAGAAGGGAAATTCAGTCCTGCTGTGACCACACCAATGCATGCCTACTTGTCAAACAGGAAGTAAACAGTGACACTGACAGTAACAAAATCATGACAAAGGTTCTCTCCTTTCCCCATAATTGGAAACTATAAAAAGTCTGTCTGAAAATTAACTTTCATTATTTTGTGACCACAGTTTTTTGAAGCTTAGAAGCCCAGCCCAACGCTGGTATGCATCAGTTAAATTACCAATGACTCTATGACTAACTTTTCTTTTTGACAACGGGTTTAAGAACTAGGAACACACACAGTTGCACATTCCTAGTTTTCTGCTGCCAAGTTAAATTAACTTTCTCAAAAAGGGGTTAAAGTGACCGTGTCTTTATCCGAAAATTACGGAAAGGCAGCAGGCACCCTGCAAGAGAATAAGCTAAAGACTTACCTGTCTGGCGGGTGGTGAGGGAAAACCGTTGATCTCTTGCACAGTTCTAGGAACTGCTGCTATTTGACACTTCTGGATTTATCGTATAGAAAGTTCCCAGCTGCGCTCTGTGGTCCTTTCCACCAACCCCAACTACTATGCTCTATAGGGACATGGAGGTCTGCAGGGGGAACCATGGCCTGTGGCGGGGACAAGCTATCTGGCACACAAAGTCAGCCATTCTCCTTCCTTTGGCATTAAACTAAACCCACTGGAAAGTAAGCCTTTTTGTAAATCAACAATCTTGGTTACTGCATGTATTTAAAGATGCACAATGAAATCTCACAAAATCCTAATGTAATCATATTACTAAAACGAAATGAGTATACAAAAAAAAAAATATATAGAAAGAGACCACGGTGAAGGATATCTTTTCTATAAGTGTCATTATGTCAGGCGCCGTAGCTCCGAAACAACTCTTACATTGTTCTATTCTTGGAAAACAAATGATAACATCATGTTATTACATGGTAAAACATACACTATTAAATCCTAATTGCCAAATGAAATCATGACATCTCACATATTATCGCAAGGACTTAGTTCTAAAAGTGCAATTAAGGCCTTGTCAGAGCATGAATGAATAACCTGCATGCGGGATTAACAAATGTGTCACAAGAAGGTAAATGTTCAAGATGTGTACTGTAGACACAGGACACTGGAGGAATTCTGTCCTCTGTCTACTGCAGGGTAGGGGGCCTCCAGCTGTAGTAAAACTAAAAATCCCATAAGCTCTTGTAGGGGCTGGAATACACAAGATATACTCACCTGATCCTTGGTCCTGCGTTGGTCAGCTCTAACCTCTCTTCTTCTCCAGCTGTGGTAATTCCCTCAGCATCCTCACGTGATGACCCCAGTGGGGCTTAGACAGCCGGAGTACAGAGAAGAGGAGGCTGTGGGGACCAGTCTATCACCTCGACAGGACCAAAGATCAGTGAAGTATATTACTCATTTTGGGTGCCATTACAAATCAGTGGCAACGCAAGCGTGTTTTACCACGTTTCCATGAACGCACGCCAAACACGCACAAAAATGCGCAGGTGTGAATGCGGACTAAAGGTGCCCATACACTGCTCGATTCTCGTACGAGAATCGCGGGAAATCCCGCGATCGTACGAGAATCGAGCAGTGTGAACGGAGACGTGCGACCGTTTCTACTGTACGGTCGCACGTCTTCTGTCGAACCAGCATGTTCGAAAACCAGCCGGGAATCGTACGATTCTCGGCTGGTTAGAACGGTGCTCGGAAGACAAATGCTGAACGGGCCGGTGTGCGCACGCGCACACTGCCCGTTC